AAGGAGGAGATTTCTGGAAAGCTGAGTGCATCATCGACATGGATGGATGATGAGGGGTATGCTGCCAGTACCAAAGAACTGAAAGAGAAGCTGTCTGAGTTGAAGAAGCTGTGCAAGGCCATGTTCTTCCGAGTGGAAGAGAGGAAGAAGTGGCCAGACAGGCTAGCAGCGCTCGACAGCATGCTCAACCACTCCACCATCTTCCTCAAGTGAGTGATAGCTCAAGGATGGGCTGATTTTCTCTGGAGCTGGGCGAAATACTAAGCAGTAGCTCTTAGTCTGGCTCTACTCTGTACTTTGTAGATGTTCTTTAAACGTGCCATGTGCCATTCTGGGTGGTGTTACTGATAAATGGTGGTGTGACCATACACAGCGTTTCCCGCCTGAAGAATTATTGTAGTCCCCCTCCAATTGACTGATCAACTTGTTTATTTAATTTTCATGTTCTCATACCAGTTCACTGAAAATCAGCTAATTTATTAAATCAGTTTGTTGCAGTGTCCTACATATATTACCTACTTATTGTCCAATAAAGAATATTTAAAGAACATCATTTTAATTGTGAGATTCTTGCACTTCTGTATTTCCTTTGTTGGATTTGAGTTGGCCAGCACTTTTTTGGAAATTGACGTCAGGTTCCTCCTCATACTATTTAGAATTAGGGCAGACTTACATTTGCTACCCCTTTCCACCCATGTCTGGCATAAGCCAAAATTGTATTATTTGAAACTGAGCCACCATGTAAAGAGCCAGTTAGCTAACGAACTATGATAGAAAAGTTAGATAAGAAAAGTAGAAAAGTTCTGTTTATTGTACTTAATATGCATCTTTTTTTGTTACAATAACCTTTTTTATGTACCATCCCTAGATGTTAATGTGGCTTTAACATCTTGATTTCTGAAGCTGCGTAGCACTCTGTTGTAATTTTAGCAAATTATAGCAAATGCTTATTGTGTTTGCATGATCTGTTGGAGATTTCTTACTTGCCTTAACACTGGCAACTCCTGGTCAAATGTAACTTTACCTCTGTAATCTAATTTCTCACATTTGATTCAGAGACTGATTTTAAGTTAACACAAACTTTACTCTTGTTGCTGACTGCTATGGTTATGCCAGTAAGTCACCCTGTGGTAAGAAATACCTGATCAGTTCTGATCAGGCAGCACAGTACACAGCCCCCTTTAAGCTTTTAACACTGCTCTAAATCATGCAAAAATTGCTTAATCGAGGAATGTTAATAATACAGGAGTGCTAAAATGCTCCCAGAGGATAACCAGATTTTTACTGAAGTTGAGCTGAAGACCTTAGAGAAAGTCATCAATGAGACTATGGTATGTAATCATTTATATTGACATTTGAAGTATTTTTATTGGTTTTATCAGCTTTTTCTTCTATCAACTTTGACTTTTTCAAATGTGATCTGCTAATTATTCAGTAAACCATATGCAGCTACCATTTTTGTCAAAGTTATGTGCTCATTCATTCATTCATTCATTCATTTATTTTTCCATTGTTTTCTCTCTCTCTCTTTTGGAAGGACTGGAAGAATGCGACTGTGGCTGAGCAGGAGAAACTCTCTCCTACAGAGAAACCCGTCCTGCTGTCTAAAGACATTGAGGCCAAGCTCTCACTTCTGGACCGGGAGGTCAACTACCTGCTGAACAAGGCCAAGTTTGCCAAGCCGAAGCCCAAACCAAAACCTAAAGACAAGAACTCTACTAGCACTGAGAGCAACAAAACCAGCAGCACTGAGTCTGAGAAAGTCGTTCCTCCCAAAGATGAGACGGGTTAGAAAAACGTCTTCTTTCTCAGTGTTTTTTGCAGTTGAGTTTACCATTTAGGTGTGCTTTGTTTGTTGCTGCTGTTTTGCTATCTACTTTGAGATTGGTGAAGTCTGAAGATGCTTTGTGATATTACAGAGGGAGTTGAGGAGGCAAAGCCAGCAGAAGAGCCCCCCACTGAAGAGAATAAAAAAGAAGAGACTGAAACTGAGCAAGAAGTAGAAGAGCAAACGGAAGACACAGGTAATTATACACCAGTTATGCATCTAGATACACACTAGATGGCTTCACAAGTTCAAAAATCTAGACCAGGGCACGTTTTCATAAAGCTTTTCAGAGAGGGAATCTGGTTCCTGTCTTATTTACGAAGACCTTACTGAACTCACTGCTTCTTTAAGGCCATTCATGCAGTTTATTTAGACGTTAATAAGTTAATTTAATCACATGTTCAACTGATATCTTGCACACCAAGTGCTTGAGGTCATTTATTTACTTATTTATTTTTTGTTTGTTTTTGAAAAAACGAAAATGATTGCTAACCATTGCAAACCACATAAGCTCGCTGACCAGTGGCTCTCACCTCTGGCGTTGGCATGGCAACAGCCAGGATGGCTGATCACTGTCTCTCAGCAACAGGAATTTTTAACAAACATCAAAAGTATTGTTTGTACTCTGCTTTGTCATGGCTTGTGTTAGCACACCCAAAAGCAGCTCAGACCTTTGAATTACAGACATCCGAGCTATACACGAAAGGGCTCATGAAGAACCAACTGCTGAATAAGGCTCCTTTCACAAAATCAAAGTAGCCAACCCAGTGTCACTGTTTTCCAGTTTTGTTTGGAGCTTTTTGCACATGAAAACATCCATTTGTTAGTTCTTTCACTCCATGAACAACATGGATAAAAATATCTTGTCACATCTGGTGTGTGTAGGTTTGTATTGTTTATTTGCATCACACTGTGTGTGAAACGGCTTTTACTCTGAGAATCCTTATGAATATGTGCCCCTATCTAAACCAGATGCCCCGAAATGCTTGAGATTTCATTGCCCAAAGCTGAGATGACCCTAGTGAAACAAAAAAAGACCTCACAAGTTTGGATGGCTGCAATAAATCTGACTCTATTCATGCATATATTTATATCATTCTTGTTCTGAAGGGGCAGTTTAGAGTAAGACATTCTAGTTCCTTAGTGCAAGTTTTAAGGAATTAAAATTTACTTTTCTTTTTTCCTTGTCTTTTACAGAAACGTCAGAGAACGGAAATTCAGAAAACCATGTATCGGATGAATTATAACAACTGGAACTCCTTTAGTTGTTGTCTATTTATTGACTCTGTTAAAGGTTCAAATCTGCTTTTGTTTCGGTTCTCCCTGCATCACAACCAAATATCATTGAATCAGCTTAGATAATGTCAACGTTTTCAGTTGTAACTTATGTTCTCTGTTAAGTGCAAGCTACTCAACTTGACTGAAGTCTAGAGGTAATTCAAGGAGAGCTCAATAATTCTGGAATTCTAGCTGAGTCTAGATTCATCCTCCCTAGCTGTGAAATATGCACACTATGGCCAGTTAGCTTCCCACTCTCTGTGTACGAATGCTCATGTTTGGCTCTTACAACAACCACAGATTAATGATTTCACTCCATGGAATGCATTCATTATCTTGGCAAATATTTTAGCCCTTTTTGTTGGAATCTAGAATTTCAACCTAAATCCTACAGTGAAAATTGATGGCTTTAGTTAAAGCAACAAGATGAATTTGAATTGGCAAACCATCTAGGAACTTGTGGTCAGTTTGGCACTTACTCAGTCCTCCAGTAAACTTTACTGTTCTTCTGTGGGAAGACATTCAGGCAACCAGACAAAGCCACAGAATACAAAGGTCTTAAGATATGGCTCCTTTCCTGACCTTTCAGTACATCTCTGCTTAAATGTGTATATGATTGCATAAATGTGTATCAGAGGAACTCTTGACAAAAATACCAGCCATTTTTGCCCTTGTTTAAATTCAGTTTCTGTGCATGGAGACTACATGGTTCGTTTTGTTTCAGTATTCAGTCTTATCATGTGACTGCACTCCTTCCACTAACTCCCCTCACACACGTGCTGTGTATTGTTAAAATACGCAACATTCACATGCATCGCCAGAGGATTCCTAGGGACTTTTTGACTGCACTGACATTTAAGGAATTTGTGGTTTTATTTTTTTTTTCATGATGCCATTTGCTGCATAAAGAAGACAAAGTACAAAACCCTTCATTCACCCTTCATCCTCGGTTCCTGTTCTTTTCACCTTTTCATTGTCCTTGTGTTGCCGGTCTTTCTGGAGAAGAGTATCTAATGTCTGGGAAAGGGATATTTTGTTTCTGAACTGTTAATAAAATCTTTTTTTAAACCTCTTTTCGTGTCATGTAACTTCACATTATTGTTCTTTGCAGATCATGCTTCTAACCTAAACGTAACAAAACAAAACATATAGCATTTTCAGTATTTACTGTGCCTTATATAATATAAAATATAATTCTGTCAAAATTCAGTCTTAGAAGTTGGTTGTATTTTGTGCTTTTGAAGTCCTAGTAATCTCAAACACATTCAGTAATATTGAGGTGTGGACTCTTGAGTGGTCAGTCCCTTGTTCTCATGTCCCAGCAGCTTTGTTTAATTTACAGATTTTTTTTGTCTATTGCCTTTTTTCTCAGTAAAGCCTTCTTGACAACTACACATCCTTTCAGACTCATAGTGTTGAGTTGTCTTCACAGTGGAAGGATGGACAGAAATACCTGTAGAATATTTTTTTTCAGATTGGAAGCAGGAGTGGAGCTTGACATTTCTCTTCTTTCTTTAAAAAAAAAAAACAAAACTTCAAGTACTGTTTATCTGACGGGGCCAATGGTCTGTTTCTAAGGTCAATTTCTCAGTATCTTAATTTTTTTGAACTCCAGTTTTGGGAATGTTTTTTTAATTTTTTAAATTGTTTTTTAAATCCTTTGAGACTGGCAAGTAATGAAGCGAGGTCTCGGGCACAGTACTGTATATAATACAAAAGAAAATCAAAGAAGCTGAGAGCTTATTATTTTTTTTATTTATAGTGCCTTCTATATCAAACACTGAACACATTTTGGGATGGTAGTCGACAATCCATGAATAGATAGATGTTATGCAAAAAAAATACATTGTACAGCCTTTGTTAACTTTAAATCATTAAAAAGAATCTTGCATGCAAAAATAAGATCCAGAAATAAACTGATATGTGATATATATGTCTATAGTAAATGCTTGTAATACAGACATATGTATAGTGTATTAAGTGCCTTTTCTTGCTTTCTTCCATGAAGTGAACAGCTCCTATGCTCAGATGTTCTTTTTCCACCATATTAAAGTGTCCCATAACCAGGATGGATTCAGCTGAATCTTAAGTTACTAGAAGTAAAGTTTTATGTTGCAGACACTCACGTCTGGCTGGGCGTACAGTTTACATCCACAGCTTCCTTTAATTCCAAGTTGCATTGAATATTTAGCCACTATAATTCAGAACTAATACGCCAAATACTGTTATTCCCAAGGAAAACTGACCGGATGGCTTCAAAGGAATAGTTCATTGTTTTTCAAATTAATTTGTGTCTGCTGTATCTTTAGCATATAGTCAAATTCCATGGACAATCATTTTGAAACATTTCCCATTACTTAGTAAAGGAAAAGAAAACGTGTTCATTCAAAACACAATTCATAGAAGCCAATTGGCAGATGCTTGTTGTTTTGAGTTGTATTATTGTCAATGCTAATCAATTATATTCTACACATGTGGCAGATATTAGGGGGAAAGCAATGGAGTTACTTAAATTCTTTTCAATTTGGATTGGAATTAGATATAAACTTGTTCAGGATCTTAGGATGTAAGTGATAGAAAATCGTCCCTCATCATGTCGGCTCACATATGAGCAATGTCCACGTGTAGCAACATTAATATATCAGTTGCGTTTTCTCCACCCTCACCAAAGCAGTTTAACAAAACGAGTAAATGCGGTAGAGTCCTTATTATGTCCATTTAATCATTTTCATTCTTAAGAGAAAGGTCAAAGCTGAGCCCAGATCAATGGAAGAAGCCGCTCTTTTCAGCATTAGAAGAATTGCTCTTGTTCTTCCGAAAGACGATAACAGCCAGCAGGGTGAGGCAGAGTGTCCCTAACATTCCAACAGCTATTGACACACCAAACACAGTGTTGTTCCTTTGGGACTGGTCACTCACTGCAAGCAGGAGCCAAAAAAGAAGGAGAAAGCACTCAGGAAAGCTCATAATCACACCACTCACTGGCCTTATACTGAGCATTATACTGTAGCGCTTAGGTCATCATAACACTTAGTTTGGCTTGATATGATTATCTTCTACTGTTACATCTGTGCTAACAGAACTGTGTGTTTTTAGTGCTGTGCGCTTTGTGCAATAAAATGTTCTGTGATTACACTGATTTAAAGAAAATAAGCATATATTTAAGATAATGGATTAAATATGCTTTTTTAATGTCCATTTTCATTTAACAGTTTATACAGAATTAAGTAAATCTGAAGTTATTAATCATGAATCTAACAATGACATTGTCACAGAGTAAGCTTATTATTCAGTAACTACAGGGACTTCAATGCAAACGTGCTGAGCTATTCCCAGGTTATAGAAGTGTGTAATAAAACTGTGGTACCGCTGACAGGCCCATGGCCATGTAAGGGGTTGAAAAACAATAGAATAGTTAGGTCTTAATATTGCTAAATGTTACTAATGCATCTTCAGTATAACCAAGGAGCATCCACTCTTTTCTGCAAAGGGCTGGTGTGGCTGTGGGTTTTCATTCCAACAAAGCAGGAGCTCACATGATCAGTCGTTGGAGACTGACACTAACTGATCAAAGATAGGGTAGGATTGGTGACCCCTGTTCTAACCCAATACTACAGTGTATCTCAAGATGAAAAAGCAGACGCCTACCTCCTGAAACGGGCCGTGCCTCTGCACCTATGAGAATAAAAAAAGGAAAAAAAAAACTTATTTCTCAACAACTTTACAAACATCATTTGTGCCCAGATTTGTGTTATAAGTGGTGTTTGGATGTTTTTTGGTGAAGCAGGTGTAGTGTAGTCATGTTTGTGTGAATTGTAGAAGTAGCAGGGAATGTCTCACCGTTGTCCACTCTGGTGATGATGGGTCCAGAGCTGACCGTGGCCACATCACTCACTGTGGTACCTTGATTTGACTCCACCTCCCTTCTTCTCCTCGCAGCCTTAGTACAATTCTGGGAAAAGATCATTCAGCACTTTCTCTTACAAGTGATATTTACTCAGCTACATCATAACAACTTAATGCATTTGTAGTTTTCAAATATAGAATACTTGTTCTTCTACTTGTGTGTAAGAATGTATATATCTATCTTTCTTTCTGCCCCACGATGGACTGGCGTTAGCATGGGTTTAGTTTACTCTGCTTACCTCTAAGTAGAACATAAGTGGTAAAGTATTAAGTTTGCACTTGTATTTGTTTTGCTACTGTTATTCCTATGATGCATAAGGTCAATACAGCAATCTATTATACACCTGCTGAGCTTGGATGTAGTGTCTCTTGTCATAAGCAGATCATTTCTAAGCTAGAGACTGCATCATATGCTTCTGTGAGGAATCAAATCCATTTACTGACCTGGCGGAGAGTACTGCAGATGGCTCTGTCGCAGAGTCTGGTGGCACAGTGCAGATAGAAGGTGGAGATGGTCTGGTTCTTGTGCTCTACAAAACGAAAAGCTTCAAAAGAGAAGCGAGCCTCTTGACCTTCGCCATTGAGCCCAATCACTGTCTGACCATCACGGTTACATCTGAGGCAAGTCAGGATCAATAGCAACAGGACTGAAAGCTGTTAATTCAACTTTAGTTGAAGTTTTTCTTTTACACATGACAATCAAAAGTCAAGAGAGGTTCATTTATTTAATTTAGGTCAATACATGTGTTATGTTGTTGCATTTACCCCACAAAGAGATCATAGTATGTGCTGTTTATGAGGAAAGGGCTGGTGGTAGCGTAGCATCGATCCAGCAGCACGTTGAACCTTCGGACAGGAATGAAATGGCATAATTATTCGGTCATGGTGATAGGTTTTTTACTTCTTTTTTATTATTTACATGGAATTATCATGAAAAAGATCCATTATAAGAGCTGCTGTCAAGTAAGACTCATCAAATAGAAAGTTTAAATGCTTAAAGCTCCTCTCTGTTGGAAATGTGTAGCTGGATGCGATGTGCAGAAGAACATTTTGTAACTTTGGTTGTGCGTATGTTGGACTCCTTCACTGAGTGGATGAATATGATGATTGTGAGCGTGTTGAAAGAGTATTTAAAGAGAACTTGGTTAAAACTTGGTAAACTATGTGTCTTCTGGGGATGTAAGTGAATTGTCTACTGTTTTCAACATATCTTCATAGGTCTTACATTGATTTTGCATTTGAGACCTAAACATTAAGCCAGACATTCTTTCTGAGCCTGTACATGTGACGATAATACGTAAAGATGTGGTCTGAAAACTCTTTTTAATTATTATTTCAGGCATTAAAGGGTGACTCGCAGCAGCGCACAGATACTGTATTTTTTTCCTCCAGTCTCAGTGATGCTACTTCTTTCAATTTTAACAAAAAACACACATCGTGCAGCTTTGAATATTAAATATGTTAGTCATATAGTGCAAATGAGCATGTTAGTGTAGCCCACCTTGTTGTGAGGTTGGTGGCCCGAACTTCCACAAAAATCCTGGTTTTCAGTTGCAGTCCATTTGAGGGCATCTGGAGCTGAGATGTGTATTTGTTATCCTTCAGGTCAGAAACAAACACAAATTCATTCTATTATATTATCAAATTCTATTAAATATTCTTTATTTTGCTTATGCTCAGAGACTTTACACAACATTATGAAGAACAGAATGAGTGACAAGTAAGCACCTGAAAGAGCCGCAAGCTCAGAGTACTAATGAAACTGCCATTGTTGTCCTTGATGGCCAGACTCACTCCTGATCTGCTCAAGAAAACACAGACAGAATATGCATTTGTACCACAGTCAGTTTTTTATTTCTTCCTGATGCGAAATGGTGATTGACAACTGTGTTTTCGAAGATTGTTTTTGATCATCCCAACATTCAAAAAACAGTTCTTTTATTCTGATATGCACTAGGAATGCTGGAGAGCGACTCACACGCTAGTCTCCGTGTTGTTGATCAGGTACTGCAGTGGGTAGCGGCAGGAGAACAAGTAAAGCATCTCTGAGTGATACGTGATGATTCCAGCAAAGGGGTCTATGGAGTTGACCATCCCTGAGATGTTTACAAACTGAATGCTGGAATAGTCAGAGAAAAGCCCCGTGCCAGTCTCCTGGGTGATCTGTCAGAAAAGGAGCTGAAAGTGTTGGTGTCCGTACAGTGCAACTGTGTACTGTAACAGCAAACACTTTCAAGGCAATACATAGCATTATTGACACTTTTCCCTGGATTCCCAATTTCTGTTTTTTTTTTCCTTATTTCAAAATCATCTAACAGTAGGTCTACTGCTCTCCCAGCACACATTTTTGCTTCTTTCAAGAGTCATCCTCCACAAACCTTAAGTGATTTTTACATGGTAACATGGCATTAATTCATCTTATTATTTATTTATTTAAGTGTTGTTTTATTTCATTCACTGAAGCAATCTTTTAAGATTGACTAGAATTTCTAGAATTCTTAATCAGATTCAGAACTTCTATGTGAAGAATTAAAATTCTCAACCACATTCAGAATGTCTGTGTAAAGAATTACATTCCAGAATTCTCAATTTGATTTAGACCTTCCAAACTAGATTCAGAGGCTTCTCTGATCTGCACCCGAGTTGGCTTATGTCAGCATAAGGTTCTGAAAGAAATCACCTTTATTTTGGTAGCACAGGCGGTGATGGCCTCTTCGGTGAGGGGGAAGTGGAATACGAGGATGGGTGGGTTTGCTGTCCACACGGCGGTCCCCATGCATTCTGGTCTGTAGAAGACGTCATTCAGAGCCATCAGAGATTCGTTGTACCCCCCAAAGTAGATGGGGCACAGCAGAATGCGCAGCTCCACCCTGTGTGCGGCGCAAGTGACCGTGATATCAGAGTTGGCTGTGAAATACAACAAGAAAAATATAATAACTCACTTGCTTTTGTTATTTTGGCGTTGAGTAACAAGAGTCACCAAAAGATGGACAACCGAATTGAAGCCTGTGTTATAAACAGTATATAGTGTCAAAAAGGACGCATGACCTGGGGCAGCTTTCTCACACATCTGCACATGCAGTTTTTAAAGTAAATACACTCATCAGGTTGCTGGGTGGTCCGGGGTCCGTTATTGGCTAGCAAAAGAAGTGAAAGGTGAGCTGGAAGGGAGGAGGTAGATGGAGGAGTGTAAGAGATGGACGAGGGGGAGAGGGGTATGCGGTTGCTTTGACTGACCTGGCTCTCTGAATGTAGGGTGTGTGCTGCAAGGATTCTGAGCACGACTGTGGAGAATCAGGCCAAGTTGATACAGAAGGAGAAGCAGCCACATTGTGTTCTGGCTGCAGGGGAAATCCCACACGTCACGCACAATATCACCTTCAGCTCCTTGCACCTTAATACTTACAAAATAACAGTGTCTTAATGTTTTTTGCTATATATAAGCAAAATGATGAAATAGCTTTTTAATTTTTTTTTTCATTTTATTTTTGTAATCCAGACAAATATTCTAATCATTAAGTCACTAAAAAAAAGACTACTTATCATTTAAATTTATCACATTCACAATTTAAATATACAAAAAAGAAGACCACCACTGTACATGCTAAGCTAAAGTATCTATTGTTATATTTCAATGTATATCTGCAACCTCTGAATTATTCTATCTTACCCATCTCGACACTACTGTGCAACAATAAACAAAAATATAAGCCCTTATGTACTGCATGCTCTAAAAACAAACTGAAAATTGGTCTTTTTGGAGAGAGAAGTTCTCTGCAGAAAGATGGTTCCAACCCAAAAATCAATCTTAACCATGTTACCTTGTGAGAATGTCTTCGCTCTCCTCCTCTGTCTGTGTCTCTGTCACTTTCTCTTCGTATGACGCTCACTATATATACTGGCCTCCTTTTGGATGAGCAGGTGTGAAAGAGTGTAAGAGGTCACCACAAACAAAGCGGGAGGTTATAAGTGAAAAGGAGAAAGCCAGGAGAGCAAGACGAGCAGCAGTAGCAGTTAGCGTAACCCCTCTGGCACACTGGCACCTTTTGTGTCTTCTCCTTTGGCACCAGAGCGGACATTGTGCTTTCTGTCCACACACAGACGTCTGTTTTATGGTTGTTTGACTTGTGACTTCATCATACACACTTAGAAATAAAGGTCTGAAACTATCACTGAGGTGGTGCCCTCAAGGGTACATCTCAGTACCTTTATTCAGGGAACATAATTGTACCATAATCTATTGAAATTAGATTTGCTAAGCAGTACTGACTCCACACACCCCGTCTCGTCTACAGGCTCTTTATTTTATTGTTCTGTTTTAAAACATTAGGTTTTGAAAAGGTACAAATACGTACTTTTCACCTGGAAAAACTTGAAGATTCACAATTGGACCTAAAAAACACTTTTTACATTGTTTGTATCTTGATGAATGAAAAATTTACCTGCACATACCTTTATTTCTAACAGTGTAGAGTGAAATATTATATAATCCTTTAATGGTTTTATTAAACTTGCATTTTCTCTTGATTTGTTTGATTTTTAGTACAAGAATTCTCTGCTGAAAATAATGAAATAAACACATTTTTAATGATGTTTTATGATATAAAGCTTTCGGATATATGGAAAGGGATAAGTTCAGGTTCTATTATTTGTCTTTACCAATTGACAATTTTAAAAATAACCCACAACCTGATTAACTACTTTGTATGTCTACATCCTAAAGACCTATTATTCAGTAACTACATAGACAACAATGCAAAATGATTGAGTTATTACTGCAGTTGTGAGGAATCAAAGGCTGGACCTCCGAATAGATCTCTGTGGTTGAATTCATCATGTTTATCAGTATGTAACATTAGCTATTACGGATTGCAGTTGTATAAAAAAGTTTGAACACTATCAGTCAGATTAAAAGTTTTGTTGATTATCTAATTAAAAATAATTACATATCCTCTACAGAGAACAAATTTAAATATAGCTTTTCTCTGCAAATTTTAGTGCACCATTTCTATTTATTGGTCGAGTTGAACATATTTAAAAAAATAAAACATAATATTAAATATTAAATGTGCTATAACTCTTGCACAGACCACATTGTATGCTTTTTCCCCCAAATGTGCTAAATTCATGAAATAAACAGCAATTGTGCATTAAAATGTGCAGACGTGTGTTCTCTGTACAGAATGTGGAACTTTTTTTCACTTAGAAAATCAACAAAACATGTAATTCGACCAGGGCATCCAAACTTTTGCATATTACGGTGGTACAATGATATTGTTTGCATTGTTTCCAACTGGGATTTGGACATATTTAGACAATTCCCATTCTCTTTCTCTCCACACGTGTGCTGAGATGTACACGTCTGCACACTCAAAGCTCAGTCTAGATGTTATCAGTTTCTCTTTTATGTGTAATTATCTCCAGTTACTTTTTACTGGCCTAGAGAGTCTCCTGTGAGGCCAATTAATATCACTATTATTCTAACACTCTGAGAGCCAATGTCTGTCTTCAAGGGTCGTATAACAAAGCCAGAGACAAATTCAGGTAAAGGGGAAATATTTGGGGGATTTTATACTGTATATCTAATAACAATGTACCGTTCATGAAATGCGTGGTAGGTTCATGTTTTTTTAGACTATCATAAAGGACAAGGGGCTCATCTGTGCTTTCACTTTATCTGCTTGTAGGGATAGATATCACCCACATTCAAACAAAAGGCTTCATCTTTAGAAGGTTGGCTTAACAATGACGTTTTCTTGAAATCCCATCGGAGAGGAACAATGAGATGCATACGATCCCTTTAAAACCAAGTGATGTCTACCAAGATCTAATTCTTCTGTAGTATCAACTGACGTTTAATCCACTTTTAAGCTTCCTGAACAAAGAGTAAAATTCAGTATGTACTTACATATGTTTTCATTAGATAATATTAGCTGCCCGTTGTCTGTCTATCTGTTATATACCAACTATTTTAAACAATAATCCCTTTAACTGGAAAAATGCAAGCTTGTTTTTCGGTTTCAAGACTTATTGTTCAGTAACTACTATGAAACTAATAGATCATTTCTCTAGGAACAAAACCTTGTATCTGCATTTTCTGTCATTAAAATATAAAAAAAAAAAATACATAATTTGTAAATGTTAGTTGCCCTTTACAATGTGTTAAAATTTCATGGTGAGTGGACCAATAGAAATGCTGCAAAATTGTTTGGAAAAAATGTTGAACCATTAAATTCAGCTAAAAGTTAAGAATGTTTTTACTTCTCCTACAAAGCTACACGATACAAGCTTTTGTGACAGCAACGATATATATGATATGATACAACGATATGCATAGTTGTAAGAGTGAGAAATTGAAGCGTGGGCCCACATATTGGCCCTTGCAGTTTAAGGCCCCTTTTCTTAGAAAACCACATCTATTTTTGACACAAAATATTTAGATCCAGCATGTAAATATGGCTAAAGTCTCAAAATGTACCGTTCTCTCCTCAGTCCGTATAGTCCACATGAATGAAATTAGAATGAACCCATTTTGAGTTTTTATGAAAAAAAAGATATATATATTTACATATAACTGCTTAATCATGCCCTGCTTCTGCCCATTGACAGCTGGGATAGACTCCAGCATCCCACTGCGACCCAGAAGGATAAGCGGTTTAGATGATGTGTGTGTGTGTGTGTGTGTGTGTGTGTGTGCGCGCTTAATCAGCCTACAGTCATTTAGCTCCACCCATTCAGATCATAAGTGGTATTTCAGCCTGTATTGCTTTTTTGAATGAGGCACAATACAGGGCAATCAATCAGAACAGAGATTATTTACATATATCAGTCTTAACCCATCAAATGGCCAGAGTCCACCGGGGGGCTCAGTCAGTTTGGGCGGAAGTCCCTGTAGTTACTGAATAATAAACCTTCCTATGTAAAACATCTGGGATTTTAAGGGGTTAAAGGTAAATAAAACAGCCTGTTTAATTCTAAGCCAGTGTTTATAAACCCTGGTCTTGGAGGCCCATTGCCCTGCAATTTCACCGCTCCAAACACAACAGATCCACCTAATCAGCTCATTGCCAGCCCATTATTGAGTTAAAGTGGCTGTTTGTAAGCAGGAAAAGCACTAAAATGTGCAGGGCAGTGGGCTTTCAGGACCCGGCTTGAGAGAGACTGGGCTAAGGGATAAAGAAATGTGGGAAAATGCCATAGTAAAAGTGAATTATGATTGTTTTTGGTATATAAATCCACATAAACACCACATGGTTCTATATAAAACCATTTTGAAAAGGGTTCTGCTATTGTTACAGTGTCAAGCTTGTAACAATGGAAGAAACCTTTTTGGTGCTATGAAGAAGCACATACCACACATTCTCCATCAATCTGAAGAACCATTACACCATGCAAAGATCCATTTAAGCATGAAATGGATCTATGTAGAACTCATTACTCTAGATAGAACCATTGTCTTTACTAAAGAACCCTCAGGTCTGTAGACCTCAGGGAGCTAAATAAATGAAGAATGAAGTAGAAAATGCAATTCAATTCTAAATTTAATTACATTTAAAACAAATTAAAGTATGATACTTGTCATTATACAGAGGTCTGACTTTCTGTCTGATGGCTAAATCCCTTTGTGTTGTTTTTTACTGGTCAGTTAGGTCAATTCTACAGAATAAAGGTCAACATTTCTGAGCTCTAACCAAACTAATTAAAATGTTTAAGTTCCAAAGTGCCTAGTCTTATCATATGACTGCGCCAGTAACAGCCTATATTGTTGTGCAAAGTAGCTGCTCTGCTGTTCGGAGCATTAACCTGTGATATTACCCTATCAATCTGAATGGCTTGCCAGTTTCCACCTCCTGAGGGCAGAGGCCTTAATATTTTACCAAGCCATGATCCAATCTTCTCCCTCTGATTGTCCCTCAGTAACACAATCTGCGCAAAGTAACACCGTGCAAACTGCACTTGCTTTAGCACAACTGATGTTTTTGACACATTAGAGCACAAGCATCCAAGTGCTTTCATTTTCAAACGTGTTCATATTACACAATGTATCGTTACATGATAATAACGACAAACATCACGAAGGTGCTGGCGTCAACAGGAACCAACGTGTTTATTTGTTTGATTGGACAAGATCATCGTGAATGTTCATGAATAAGACGACTGGTTTATTCAATACAGCAACCATTCAGTTCTCTCACATCTGTCTCTGAGGCTTTCAGCTCAGAACCATGTCGTGTGCGCCCCCACGCACCCCCCTTCACCTGGGGAGAGGAGGGGTTACACACCAGATACATGGTCATCAAATAAGAACCAAGCCTTCACACATGCAAACAACGTTCGCAATTAAAACAGGAACATTCAACAGAATTTTGGCCATAACAATCAAAAGGAAAGCAACTCCCAATGCTTAAAAAAAGAAAACAGTAAAACAGGCGAATGGCTGATACAGTATTGTTTATAACGTCCCTTCAGGCTGTAATTTGCGCAAGACGAACAAGAATCCCCCGGACTAACATGCGATGCCGAACCACAGTCAATCACTCCCGTCTTCCCCCCCCACCACCAGAAGCTGAGGCAGCTCTTCCTTTCACGTCCATGTTTCGTGCTCGCACTTTCACTTCGAGCTCGTGTACTTCGTCACAGCCTTGGTGCCCTCGGAAACGGCGTGCTTCGCCAACTCTCCCGGCAAAAGCAGGCGCACGGCCGTCTGAATCTCTCGGGATGTGATGGTCGAGCGCTTGTTGTAGTGGGCAAGGCGAGAGGCTTCGCCAGCAATGCGCTCGAAGATGTCATTCACAAACGAATTCATAATGCCCATTGCCTTAGAGGAAATGCCAGTGTCCGGGTGGACTTGTTTCAACACTTTGTACACATAAATAGCGTAACTTTCTTTCCTGGTCTTGCGCCTTTTCTTATCTCCCTTCTTCTGCGTCTTGGTCACAGCCTTTTTGGAGCCCTTTTTAGGGGCAGGGGCAGATTTCGCAGGTTCAGGCATCTTTTATTGTCTGTCAGTCCAGCGAACGTCAGATCTCCCAGCTTCAGCTCTGTATACTTTTATGCGCTGTCCTCTGTCCTATATTTATAGAGTTCGCATGCAAATAAGAGTAAGGTCGGGCTGCGCGCTTATTGGCCGTCCCGCTCATGTCGTGCTATACACAGCGCGCTGCAATTGGTCGCCTCTAAGCGATTCCGTGCGTCCAATCGGTAGAGCCGTTGGGGTATAAATACCAAACCCTGCTGACATCATATGCTTAAACGTCTTTGGTCGCTGTTGACATTCTAAACAAAGCATTTCTCCTGTACGCCTTTAGCTTGTGGTGATTCAGACATGTCTGGAAGGGGGAAAACCGGAGGAAAGGCTCGGGCCAAAGCCAAGTCTCGTTCTTCCAGAGCCGGACTGCAGTTTCCAGTCGGTCGTGTCCACAGACTGTTACGCAAAGGGAACTACGCGGAGCGCGTAGGCGCGGGGGCTCCTGTGTATCTGGCCGCAGTGCTGGAGTATCTGACTGCTGAGATCCTCGAGCTGGCTGGAAACGCAGCGAGAGACAACAAGAAGACTAGGATCATCCCCCGCCACCTGCAACTCGCCGTCCGCAACGACGAGGAGCTCAATAAACTTTTAGGTGGTGTTACCATCGCGCAGGGTGGAGTGCTGCCAAACATCCAGGCTGTTCTCCTGCCCAAGAAAACCGAGAAGCCAGTCAAGAGCAAGTAATCGGCTTTTGTGACCGAGGACATTGACATAACGGCTCTGTAAGGAGCCACCATTTTGAGTCTGAGAAGTGTTTATTGTTCTTACTCTTACGTTGCATTGTGTTTGTTCTACGAAAACTAAAAGATGCTTCGTGTAAAACTTTGAATTTCTTTGCTGTTGTTGTTTCTTGGACGATTCCGTGTGTATTTGAGGGCAGAGAGCGACGAGGCTGACCACAGCAAGACGAGCACTAAAACCACCGCTGGCTAAAAATGGCCGAGGGACTCGCTAAACTTGCCGTTTAAAAACAAAAGAGGCACTCTCCTCGGCGGACTGGAGATCTAGTAGCCTGCACTCCTCATTGTTTATGGACCAATGCTGGTTACGTCGTGTTTGTCTCGAGCTGTTAATGACATATGAACCATGTTTTATTCTCTCAGCTGTTTTAACAGTTTGTTTCAATAAATGTTGAGCGCCTGAGTAAGGCACAAAGACACGCAGTGGATCAGTCTCTTTTTCAGAGCCGCAGAATAGCTAGCAGCTAAGCTGAGGGTAGCTTCTTACTCGATTTTCCCGTTCCACCTTAAATAGTGCAGCAGCTGCGTTGAGAATGTTACTGCTGCACCATTTTAAGGGGGAACGGAAAAGCTGGCCAATAAGAAGCCAACTTTAGGCTCGTAGAACAGCAGCTGTAAAGCCTTGTGGAGAAGTGTTTATGGTCATGGTAGGGCTCAGCCTTATTACAGTGTAATTACACAAGACTGTGCAGGTTTGTTAGCAGGCCAGACTATTCACTGCCCACATAACTCAGCAGAGTGTAAGGAGAAGGGTCTTATTTAACAATCCTTAAAAAAAAACAGAACTACATCACAAGTTTATACAATTTTATTGTACAAACAAAATGCATACATTAATAATTAATCATTGTAAAGAAAAATCAATGCATGTAGCATTCGTGTGTAATTCAGCCGACCTAATCACAAATAAAGTATTAGTTAAATAATATTCCTGTAGTTTACAATCCCTTACCAATTTGATAACGTGGTTGTTATAGTGTATTTACCATCACAGGGCATAAATAAAACAATACAAATCCTGCTGTACATCAGCAAAGAAACTGGACCATAACACAAAAAGATCAAGGTCATACTGGCCTGGTTTGTTCTATAATTATTTTTTGATAAATCAATAGGGAACAAAAACAGGCCAGCAATTTTACCCTCAAAACTTGTCTGTCTTTGCAGTTGGATTATAGCTTTTCTTCTATTTCTGGACCTCGCCGTAACCCTCTGTTTTCATGTCGTTCAATCCCAAATCCTCATTCTGCTCAAATGTTCTCGTGTACTTCTCAATCTTCATCTCAGGGTCAGGATCTGGAGCGTACACGTTCTACAGAGAACAAACGCCTCATATTAGCCTCATTCATAGACTAAAAAATTCTAATCTCATCAATGCTATACATTAGGCTAATTTCCATGTAAATAAACAAAGATCTTAAGAGTTAATTTACCTGCAGATAACTATTCCCTGCTGGATCATCCAGGATAATGTGGACATCCATTTCTCCTGCCATAATCTTCATTCATTTTCACACAGACATACAAGACACAGGAAAATTCTGACCATATGTCAAACCATGATTGATACTCAACAATCTTGAGGATGGGTTCTAATAGTATAAACTACTCTAGACCAGAGTTACTAAATCAGTGTGCAGTGAATATTATGGAAAATGCCTTTTCAGTAAGACAATTGTTCATGGCTAACCACTAGCTGTTACTGAGCTTGCACATCCTAAAAGTTTAAAAACAAAAGTTATCAAACCTTGTCGATCTTTTTTCCAAAGAGCTCCAGTTTCTCCGTTGTGTCGGTGGTGGAGCTGTCACCACAGATGAAGGGGTTTTTCATTACCACCTAAAATAATCATGCAAAAATAAGAATGAGGTCTTCATGTACAGTTGTATGCAAAAGTTTGGGAACCCTGTCAAATGACATGTTTTGATTTTCTAAGTGAAGATAATTGAACACATCCTCTACAGAGAACACACCTTCACATTTTAATGCATAATTACTACTTATTTGCTGAAATTCAGCACTAAAATTAGCAGTAAAACGCTATTTAAGTGTGTTCTCTGTAGAGGATATGAACTTGTTTTCACTTAGAAAACCAAGAAAACATGTAATTTGACTAGGAGTGTTCAAACTTGTGCAGTGACTGTAGCTGTAAACGAGTGAGCACACATTTGCTATGAACACTCACCAGTTCTTTGATATCCTTGAGGAGGCCTTCAAGAGTGGTGAACTTCCCTCCCAATGCTGCCATACCCAACTCAAACTCGAGCTCTGGAATCAGCACGCTACACGTCTCCGACTGTTTTAACACATATGCAAAAACATGCATCAGTTAAAAAAACGGATTGATTCACATGCACAACATGAAGTTCACAGGGCTTACCTCATGGTTTATTATTTAGTTATTAATCAGTAAGTACTACGCAACTAAACTACGCAACCAATGAAAACTGTTTCCCAGTCTAACCACTATTTGACCATTATCAGCATTACACATAAAAGCCCTGAAGACACAAGTAGGTTTAGTGATTGGTCTGGACCAAATTCCATGGTTATTTTTGCAATACCGTCACATGAATTGTGACCCTTGGTTCCGAACATCATAAAGAACACAAAGAATCTCTCAGTTGAGAGGTTTCTGTACAATTAACTATTTTACATCAAACATCTCTGAATTACTATTTACATCTAAATAAATATGCAGAAAATTAAGAAAAAAAACAAACAAAACAAAAAAAAACAGCGGAATTCCCATTCAACATATTCAAAGAAAAAGTACAAAATTGTAAGCAACTCATTGGTTTGATAGAACAAAGATATTTTACATAAAACACTCAGAAAGGTAGGAATACATGTTTTGTCTTTCGCAGCAAAATTTTATTTTCTTCTTGAAAATGACTATAGGTTAGTGAAGAGGCAGAGAAGCTTGTACGCAGAATACCTTCAGCAGATCTCGGGACATGTCTGAGACGTCTGTGAGGTGAAGAGTAATTCTGGTCCCCATCTCCTCTGTGGCGCCCCCCGATTTCACCTGTTTAGTTAACGGTAGTTGTGGACCATAAAATTACATGTAAAATAATCACCACACTTCTGTATTAAATACTAACAGTGCTTATAATACCCCACATTTCTATTACACCAAATAGTATACTAAAAATATACAGATTTGAAATACTACTCAGATGACCACAGACACAACAAAGCCAAGTAAAATTTTATTAAAATGTTCAATAACCTACACATTTATTCAAATATAATGATTGATTTTTAGAAGTTTTTTACACTGATAAGTCCATCAAATCATCGAATAATAAACTGATATTCAGCTGTCCTACTCCCACCAGTGTTACTGCTGCCATTTAAATTAAGAAACTAGAACACTGGCCGTCACCAAGATCTACTGCTAGGTTATATTTCCACCATTCTTCATATGCATTTTTACTGCTGATCATAATTAACAGGATATCCAGCCTTTGCTAAACATGTATTTTGGTGGTAAACTAATAAACCTACCCAAACTGATATTGCAGCACAGCCCCTGGGATCAGTTACTACAGCAGCACAGTTAGTGGACAGAGTAAGCGCAGCTTCAGTCCCCAGTTTGAATGGTTATGGGTCAGTGGTGTTTATGATCAAGCACTATTACATATACACTGATGAGCCAAAACATCATGAGCACTTATTAATAACGATTATCTCAATGGTGCATGTCAAAGACCGGGATACATCAGACAGTAAGCAAACAGTCTGTTCTTGTGGTCAACGTGTTTGATGCAGGAGAAATGGGCAGGTGTGAAGACCTGAGCAACTCTGACAAGGGCCAAATCGTTATGACCAGATGACTGAGTCAGAGCATCTCTGAAACAGCAAGAATTGTGGGGTGCTCCAGTTCAGCGGTGGTAAGCACCTACTGGCATTGGTCTGAAGAGGGACATACCATAAACCAAGGTTGAAGCGCAAGAGAAACAAAGACGATCTCATCCGGTCTGAACCGACTGCGGCACAAATCACAGAAGTCTTAGTGACGGTTATGAGAAGAACGTGTCACAACATACAGTGCGTTGCACCCTGCAATGTATGGGGCTGTAAAGCCAGAAACTGGCCAGTCCACCATCAAAACGGCCTACCCGGGGAAATGACGACGCCAGGATGCACTGGGCAATGTTTTTCTGGGAAACTCTGAGTCTGGGCATTCACGTGGACGACAATTTGACACGTGCCACCAACCTCAAGATCGTTGTGGACCAGGTACATCCCTTCATGGCAATGGTATTCCTTGATGGCAGTGGCACCCTGCTAAACTCCACATTGTTTGGAAATGGTTTGTAGAAACATAATGAAGATTTCAAGGTGTTACCCTGGCCTCTTAATCAACTCGATCAAGAATTTGTGGGATATGGTGGAACAAGAAATTCGATCTGTGGCAGCGCATCTTAACTTGACTTGAAGAGCTTGCAAAGTCAATGCCTGAGCTGTTTCGGCAGTTCACAGAGGGACAACGGCATATTATGCAAGTGCTCATAATGTTTTAGCTTATCCAGTACAATCAAATACAATCAGAGTACAAACTACAGAAGGGTCTGGAGGCTGAGGGTTCTGACCTCCCTAATGAAGACTTTAACCCTTCCCCAAAAGGAGGCTGGGAGGTGTTAGTAGGTTTAGTATTACATACTTAAGTATTGTGTCCCATATCAGAGGGACAGATTATAGAATTTCCAACACCACCTACAGCAGGTCATACCATCTTACATGATGATACTGCAAACTATAACTACCACTACCATGATCACTTGAATGTAGCCGAGCTACTTTTGTGATCGATCTAAGTGCTAACTGGCTAAACTTTCACTAACTGAAGACAGCACAACAGCTACTTCACAATGTCACTGTCAATTCACACTTTCAATACAATAATGCAGCAAACAGGAAATATGATTTCAGTGTATTAAAACAAAAATAAATGAACTTTTACTGAATGAATCACGGATTTATGTTTTGAAATCATATTAAAATCATGTATTACACTTTCCTACACTCAAACCCGGTAGGTCAATCAGATATGCCCAGTGGGTCTATAATACATAGAAGGAAACGTAACTATTTCTGACCTCATTAGTTCGATGTCCGCAGCTGTCACAGTTGGTGGCCATGATGATGACTTCTTTGAAATGTGGGATTTCTAAACAAATAGTAAAGGAGGAAATCTCAAAGACCATTAGCAAAATGCCAATAATGTTGTTGGGTTAGTATTTTAAGTATGCCATCATATTTTATGGTACATACAATAGAGTACAACAATACAGGCAGAAGCTTCTTTGCACTTTAGTAAGAAAACGCAGATGTGCTTTCAGGCTAGAAAGGATACGGACAAGTTTCATATTTGTTGAGGCCGGAGCATTGCACTCTGGGCAGTTGGTGTTGAAC